TTCAATTTTGTTTAAGATCTTGTCTTTTTCTTTTAGAGGAGTGCTATGTGCACTCGGTGAGAGCCACCGAGTGCACATAACTCTCCTCTTTCCATTGGTCTCTTTAGTATTTTTATTATTTTTTTAAAGTTGTACTCGGCATTTGCCAAAGTGCAAGTGGCATTTCTCTTACCTTTATTCACTTAATGAACACATAGATATATGTCAAGTAAGGATAATGCATATAGGGCCTCTTAAGTTAGAAGAGTGACTATTTTTTTACCAAATTATAAAAATAAGATAAAAATGAGAAATTTTAATTCTAAAGAATGTAAGGATTGATCTTGTTAAGATTTAATGATTAAGATTTATTGCTTGCTTAATGAAAATGATCAATGTTAAGGCTTAGCAACTAATTTTTTAAGAAAATTTCTCAATTTTATCTTTCTTTTATAGTTTGATTAGGAAGTAAGCATTCTCTCATACCAAACATAACCTCCTCTCTTTAGAATTATGATCCCTTATCTCTATACTTGCCTTTTTATGTGTCTCCACCACTTATTCCCTTTTCAACCATGAGATTTACAGAAAATTTTTTTTAAAAGATCCCAAAATTACCTTGTAGTGTACATAATTAGAAGAATTGCTTAAGAGTTGATGCTTCTCAAGAGAAACCAAACACAATGACCCTGAATGTAATTTAGCTATTGTTTGACTTTGGGTCAGAGAAGGATCCAAAATCTCTATTACTTAGCAGAGTAGTCCTATCTTAATGTGTAAGAGCAAAGAAAGGGACCAAAAAGATAATGCCTATATCTACGGCCTAGAGCTAGCTAGTGCAGCCATGCATTGCAGGTGCAACCCAACTCATTTTGTTGTTGAATTTTTTGCTTTCATTAAAGTTTTTCTTAACGCATTTACAAACCCATGAAAAAGGGGAACACATGAGTCATCACAATAGCTGGCTTGTTTCAAAAAAGATGTATTATTTGAATAAGCAAAAAGTGATTAAAGTGTTGATTGTCAAACAACATTTCCAAATTTAGGTCCACTACATGCAAAGTTTTTTTTTTTGCCAATAATCATGAAAATTCAATACTTGACATTTCCATTATCTTTTTAAGGGCCTACTTTTTGTTTTTTTATACACTTTGGGTTTGTTGTATCACACCATCTGCAGAACCTTTAAAACATATATATGTGTCTGCGGGTAACTAGAGTAACTGACTAGACCTTCCCATGTTTCGATCAATCCTTTCCATCTTTTCCTGGAGAGGTTCCACATTTAATCATGAAGATCAATTTGTTAGAACTAGTGCTTTTCAATTCATAGATGCCTAGCTAAGATATTTGCACACATATATGTGTGTGTGTGCGCGCGCGCGCACCAAAACTAGCGTCAACTCCTTCTATATGGTACATTTTGGTGCATTAGCTATTAGCAGAAAGATTCTCTCTTCTTTTGGCCTACAAGTTCCCTTCCTACCTAACTGAACATATCTGAATCAAAGTACTTTAGTCTACCTTTCTTTTTGTTTTTGAGGAATAGAGAGTCACTACTGATGGGTCCAAACTGCAGTAATTATCATTTCCCTCATGTTAAAGGCACCCATTATCTTGATTTAACCCCAATTACGCTCCTCTTGTCCAATTGATTCTCTGATTGATGGCAATAGTGATCATTTGGGGCTACAGTAAAACCGACATTCTTGTGCAAATTGTCATGGCCTTTGCACGTATGAGATGAAAATTGCTTAATGGATTAGGATCTTAGCTACGAGATCGATGGTCCTTGCTCAAATGGGACCGGTGTTAAAACAGGTGTCAAGTAATGTCCTGTGATAATGATAGGAGTTCTTTGTTAGGTGTGGGATGAGATACTTAAATAATAATGGTTTTTGGGACCTGCAATTGTTTATCTGTAGAATAGTACTGAACTAAACACCACTAATATTGCTAGATTATGTATGGTTATAATGTTGTTCTAAACGGCTGATAGACCCTACCCTGATTTTGACACATAACCAACTCTTCAAAGCAACAGCTGATCTACAGTCCTTTATGGCTAACTTTAATTACATTGTGCTATGCTATCACACACATAATCTAGGGTGTCAATTTCTCATATATACAGGTGGTGCTATTACCTCTCCTATCCTTCCACTTAATTTGCTTCATGTAATAGTTAAGTGACTGTAAATAATGTTCTGCTGTCATATAGTGGTCGCTAGCTATATAAGAAACAGGTACAATCTGCTCAAAGGTAATAGTCACCTAAACTTCTCTTCCGTAGTACTTGATGCAGAATTTTGGAGGTTGAAGGAAACATGTTTTGATAATGATTTCATCCTTGTGGGTATTTATTTTAGACTAGGCATACCTGAATTAAATTTCACTAATCTTGCTTCAATTAGAGGAACTTGATGTTTAGGTTCAGTACATGAAAATGAGATAATTTAACATATATTTATTTTTCTGTGCGCATGACCAAAGCAATAATCGGTTTTCTCACCATGATTTATATGAGAAAACATTTTATTAAAATTGCAAACAGGCCAGGCATACATACATGATTTATACATGTGCATACAACCAAACAGATATATATGCATACATATTTCACATTAATGGGTCCATGCATAAGAATGGGACCATTTTAGCCTTTTCTAGCTGGAGCAAATTGCAATGAGCTTGTTGTTTCTATTGATCAATGTGGACATAAATGACAAAGTAAGTTGGTGGATTATCATCATAACCATCAATCCATCATCATCATCCCAAAAAGAGTATATGCACACACACATTCATACACATAGGCAAATTAATCAGCACTCTATATATTAGGGTTGTCTCCTTTCTTTCCTTTTGTTTGCAATTTCTTGCTGAGCAATTTTTCTTGAAGGACAATCATGAGTAGAGGTGGGAGCTATGGTGGTGGGCAAAGTTCCCTCGGCTACCTGTTTGGAGCTGATGAGCAGCCAAGTGCACCGCCAGTCACACAGACAATTCAGCCTCCATATGGTATAGATACCTTCGAGGACGCTCCGGATGCTCGCCGGCGCCCCAAAGAGACACCAAAGAATGTCATCAACAGCCCTCCAGAGACACAACAGAATGTCACAAACAACTATCATAGAGCTCAAGGACAGAATTCGGGGAACTTCATTACTGTGAGTTATCACAAAAATGCACTACACACATGATGAAAATTCATTTTCTCCTCAATAGTATATATGATAGTTTTTAATTAATTCACCTAACTACCTTCTAATATAGATGATATTTTATTCCAGGATCGTCCATCCACCAAAGTTAAATCCGCTCCTGGTGGAGATTCCTCTCTGGGGTACCTGTTTGGAGATAAGTGATATCTCAAGCTTCCTTCTCCTAAGTTTTACCTTTAATACATGAGGGTTTGAGCATATTTATGTAGCGGATTGGTGTGTTTGGTTTGGTCCTTAATTAAGAAACATGTTTAGATTAAGGGATGATCAGCTCCTAAGAGTGTTGAATTTGCAATTTGTTCTCCCAGAATAAGATTGGTGTTTCATAACAATGTAAAAGTGGTGTCACTGCGTACTCCCTTGTGAATTGTGTTTGATTATATGATAGTGTGTGCATGTGTGTCTGCATTCTCAAATAGAATTTGATTCTCTTGATATATTATGACGAGAGGTTTGTTTTTATTAATTTTTCATTGCCAAATATTTAAAACAGCAGTGATGCTTTCCATTTCGGGTTTAGATTTCACGGATTAACTCATCTTAAAAGACAATAACTAATGTAGATAAAAACTTGGTAATGCTTCCTTATTTTATTGCACATCTAAACTAATTAAAGATTTGGTGTATCTTTTTTATGTCAATAAGTTAATTTATAGATGGGGTTCTTGTTGTTTAATTAATGGCCATGGAATGTGGAATCAGTGACCAACAAATTAATTAAACCCAACATTTGCTAGTCAAGTGTACATGGATTAATTAACAGCCTCACTTGTCCTGCAACCTGTTGGGGAAATTAAACTAAAATGAAGAATCTCATCAGAAACCAGATTGGTAGTGGCTTTTCCATTTTCATATTCTGCACAGTCTGTTGCAGAAACTATGGAACCTTTCTTCATTAAAGTTAAGCACTTGACATGTATAGGCTCCCTTCAATCCCTACAGTGAGAAAAAAGAACTTGGCATAGGGATCATCTTTTCTTGGCCATACACACACACACACACACACATATATATATATATATGTTGCCCTTTTCTATGGAATTGAATTGAACATTCTGCAATATATATTTGAGCTGCCTTGATATGTAACGTTCTTTGTTCTTACCAGCATGCTACATTGCTAAAAGTAGCACATGCATGTCCATTTTTTCTAAACTCTTCAAGTCTTTTCCTTAATTTCTTAGGTCTCTGCGTGAAGTTGTTTTTCATGCTATCAACCCCTTTAGGGCTAACAGCGATTAGGTTGCTTCTTTTCCTTGGGAATTTCACTCAAGGTGTGTGTTGGTTTATTTGTAAGCGGCTTGTTTCTCAATTAAGGCAGCATGTAGTCTTTTCAGTTTTCACCCTCTTAATTTTTTTTTTTTTTAATTTTTTCCCCATCCCTACATTTATCTTTTAAAAGTAAAAATTTATTTATATTTATTAAAAATAATTATCTTTATATAAATAATTATAATAAATTTTAATTATTAAAAATAAAAAATAATTAATTAAATCTTTATATAAATATAATATTTAAAATTATATATAAATAAATTTCCTCCCCATAAGGCATTCGGGTCCTCTGGTTGATGGTTAGGCAGTGCAGAAGGTTTTGTTTTTAATCAGGTCATCATGATTTTGTCAAATTCTGGTTGTATGGAGCTTGGCTCCCATCAGATGTGGGTACCATCAAGACGAGGGTGCCATATGTTGTAGATGGGTTGAAGTACCCTTTGTGCTTCATTAAATAAAAAGTTTTATTTGGCTGATAAAAAAAAAAAAAAATTTCCTCCCCATAAGCATATATATAATGTAAAAACTCACATAGAAAATTTGGTCATTTTCTTTTCTTTCCTTTGCTTCAGCAGCGGAAAGCACATAAAATTATTAGATGGACCATTGAAGTCTTTATCGCTGTGTCCTATTTGCTTGCCTTTTAAGATCATTGAATGATAGGGTACGTGAGTTTATGAACTTGTACTTTCTTTGTATGATGAAACTCAATGGAAAGATTGATTTGGTGCACTGATGCATCCCATCTCTGTATCTCATCTGCATATATTAATTTAAGAAAGGAATTGTCCAACTTATTTCTTCAAAAGTGAATTTATATTTTCTTTATTATTAATTTACATAAAAAAATAAAAATTAATTTTAATTTTATTTATTATCTACTTAAATTATTTTATATAATATTAGTATTAAAAATAAAATTTATTTTCATAATTTTTATATAAATTAATAATAAAAATATATAATAATAAGAAATTCTTTAAAAAAATGCATGTAAACACGTAGAAGTTCCACATTGAATGTGGCTTAGGTATTAATAGGGACACTCTATCCCTCTTCTTTAAAAAAATGCTAGTAATTCTTTAGGAGTTTTTTTATTTTTTTTGTTTTTACGACATGAATTAAAGATGTAATTAATATATATTTATTATTAATTAATTTTAATTTTATCATTAATATCATATGAATAATTTTCATTAAATAAATAAATAAATATTATTTTTTATATTTTCAATAATAATTATTATAAAAATAGTTACTCTTACCATGTGCCTAGTTTAAAAAAACTCATTTCTTTAATTGAAATTGTTATATATAAAGAAAATAAATAAATAAATTCTATCTGAAATATATGTAGTTAATTAGGTTTTGGGAATGTTTAAAAACCCCTACAATTGCTCCACTTAATTACAAGTAGAAAAACTGTGAAATTAAGGAACAAACCACTTCCATGGTATCATTGACATTATAGAAACAAAGGACACTTTGTTCTTTTCCAGGTGGAGCTTAGTGCAAATAGTAAGCAAAGAAAGAAACAAAGGAGGCTCCAACCAAGCACCCAACAATGGGCATGGTTATGGAGGAATTAGGAACAGGAGCAGGAGCCCCAGTGTTGGCCACAGCTGCACTCATGCAGGCAGCAGCAACGAGGACAACGCAGGAGATCTTCAAATCCATGGTGAACTAAACAGAAAAAGTATAGAGACCTGCCTTGGAGAAGAAGAAACAGAGGGTTTTTTTTGGGGTGTTTTTTTTCTTTTGCTGCTGTCTTTTCTTTTCTTTATTCCTTGCTTATTTGCAGGCCTGAGGAAGATTGAGAATGGTGGGAGGTACTTATATGGAAATGCTGCATATAATTGGAATTCTCTTGGTGCAGATATTTTGTCAACACGTTTTCAAGTTCCTTGAAACTTTTGCAATTCCTATGAAAAATCTGACTGATTCATCGACGAATGGGCAACGACTACCAATTCCTTGGACTTAGCTCAAAACTTTATCAAAATTAAATTTATGTATATATTATATATAATATGTCATATATTCTCCACAAGGAAAACCACGAGAAAAATATCAAATACTATGCTCCTTAGGCTTAATTTAAATACAATGGAATAAAAAAGGAAATGATTAATTTAGTCTCACCAACATTCCAAATCTCAGCAGCTAAGTAGAGGAAAAAATGATCAGGGTCATGGCCATTTTGACATCAAAGTATTTGCATTGAGCTCAAGAACCGCCAAGTATTAACGGGAAAGATGAGTGGTAGGCAAAAGAGTCTACAGTAGGTCCTATTGCACATGTGTGAAAATCTGAGTGGAGCAATGCATTAAGCTCCTTGTACAAGCAAGCAAACTCAAATGCTATTCCTAATTGCAATCAACTCCCAACCGATGGTGATGAACAGTAGCACTGTAGTAATGTATGAGGATTCAGGGGAAAGAAGTTATTCCCATAAATTTTACATGATGAAGAAAAAGATTCTCCTAATTGATTGAGCCTGGATTGAAATGCACTGATTCCCTCCATATAAGCACTTTGATTTGCTCTTCAGTACATGATGACTGCTCAAAATCAAAATTGAAAGGTCTGGGGCAGACAGGCTCGTCATTGATATCGTGAAGAGATGACAAGTATGGATGACAAAGTGCCTCATCAACTGCAAAAATACAGATAAAAGATATAATCACCTGATAACAGGAAAAGATGAGAAAGTGGGGCAGGGGAGTAAGAACAAGGTAGCTCTAAGATATACTCTGCTTGAACATCTAAATTCTCCTCATACCTGTAATCCGTTTATTGGGATCAAAAACAAGCATTTTCTCTAGCAAATCAACAGCTCCAGGAGACATGTTTGGAAATCTAGCTGAAAATTTCTGCTTCGGACATTGTGGCAGTTGCCTGACATATCTTCGGGCATTATCACTTCGGAGAAATCCAAGGCTAGCATCATCAGGTGAACCTATCAACTTTTGGACAAAGGACAAAGAACAAACAAACAGTGTCAAACAGTGTCAGGACCATCTTCGGGTCTTAATATTCCACTCTACCAGCTGGTTCTGCAATGTTCACTTGCAACTTTAGCCAAAAAGGCAAAAGTGAAGTCTAAAAGTGAGTTCATTCCATAAATCAAATTACCTCAGTGATGAGCCTCAGCTGCTGAACATAATCTTTCCCAGGGAACAGAGGCTCTCTGGTTATAATTTCACCAAGTATGCAGCCAACAGACCAAATGTCAATTGCAGCAGTATACTCGGAACAGTTAAGGAGCAGCTCTGGTGCTCGGTACCAACGAGTGACAACATACTCAGTCATGAAATCTGTTTCAGATGTTGTCCTTGCCAAACCAAAATCTCCAATCTTAAGGTCACAGTTTGCATTCAGAAGCAAATTGCTGGGCTTAAGGTCACGATGCAATACATTTGCAGAGTGCACATATTTTAGACCTCGCAATAGCTGATATAAGAAGTACTGCAAAATGTTTAACAAAAAATAAGTTTAATGTATAATATCAAACCTAACCGAGAGCCCAGGCATTTAAAAACACTGTAGCATCTCCATGGTTAAGAAGTATACAGGTAGAGTAATTCAAAGTTTTATAGAAGGCAGAAAAGTTTCTAAAACTTTGTATTTAGTGCTGCAAATTTTATTTTCATTGTTTATCTGTCAAAAGGATGTCTAAGGGCCAGCAAGCCTGAGACAATAAGGATTGCATCTGCAGTGATATGGCTGGAAGTAACAGGTCAAAGTTGGTTCTCCAAATTCAGTTGTCAATCTCCACAAAGAGGCAATGACTTGTCACTGAACCATAAGGCTACTTTAGATAAAAGCCAGAAGTTTCATTCAAATGCTAAAATGTAAAGAAAGAACTATTTGTTTTTTGTTCTTCCTCATTTAATCATGAGTTCATCATAAGATTCTGCAAAGCATTTGGGTGTTACATGAAGTCCTCCATTTGGTCAATGCAATTTAATGAAACACCAATAGTCAATAAAAAATGCTAAGGTAAAAGACCCCAAGAGTATGGTTAGACCTGACAATGATCATCAGTTAATAGTTGGTCAGAACGAATTATCTGGTGAAGATCAGTGTCCATCAGTTCATATACAATGTACACATCATTGAAGGCCTCCTTTTTTGGTGGTCGAATAATGTCCTTGATGGAAATAACCTGCAGGAACAACAATGAGTATCCACAATATGCAAGAAAACTAGGCAGCCATAAAGTTGCATTTTCTAGGAATAAAGGTAACAAGTTCACATTTTCATGGTCCATGTGACAAAGAAGCTTAATTTCTCTCAATGTCCTTTTGGCATCTATTCTATTGTCAAACGCATTTCCAATCTTCTTGATAGCAACCTCCTCTCGTGTCTCCGAATTAACAGCAGCACTGAAATCAAAATAATCATACAATCCACCACCATGTCAACCATTCATCTGAATCAAGTAGCATAGGAAAATTTTTTTTTTTATTTTTTATTCTCTTTTCATTGTTACCATATTAGGCAGCAAAATCGTCTTTATCTTATTTTCTTTTTCTCTAATAAAGCATATAATAATTCAGTAAGCCCCTTCATTGGCCATTTGGTGCAAAAAGCCACATTACTCCAAAAGGCCAAAGCAGATTAACATTATAAATGATAGCATCACAGTTTTTATAAGAAAACAACAACAACAAAAAAATTGATAAATAGCTACTTTTATGGTATGAATAAACATATTTGCCTATATAGCCATCATCATTCTTTACTTTGATGATGCACCAAAGTCCAAAAAGTTTTTATTAAAAAAAAAAGAAGAAGGAATTTTCCCAATTAGAGATGGAATCATAGAGAGACCAAAATAGGCTTAGTTCACCAAATTGGACGAAACTTCATTGCATTTCATAGCATCACTCATATATCAAAACTAACAGATTAAAGAGCAAAGCTACCAACAAATCAACCCCAGAAAAAAAAAAAAAAAATCAGAACTTTGAAAGACTACTTTCAATTTAACTAAAAGCATCAAACTAATACATCTAGACTTGGTATCAAAAATCAACCATCCCTCCCTAAACACAATAGAAAAACCCCCAAAAAAAAAATCCCAACAAAAAAAAAGGCCAACCAGATTCCGAAAATGGGTAAATCTACATAAACTTACCAAACAATGCCATAAGCACCTCTACCGATTGGACGAATTGGAGGCACGTATTTGCTGGACACCTCGAACAAGTTTCCATACACATTGTACTGAACGTATCTTCCTCCATAAGTCAGCACTCCCTTTATGTTACTACCATCACCAGAGCTTGGCTCCTTTGCACCTGCCATTTCTGGGCTAACTCAAAAGCAGATGAACGGCTCAGAGGGGGAGGTGGGGGTTGTGTGACTGCGGTAGGTATGGACTATGGTAGGAGGAGCATCGTCGGCAATTTGGGTGCAGGTGAAATGGTTTCGGAGGAAAGCGAAGGGGGTGGTTATTGTGGACGGAAACTGTAGCTTTCTGTTCTGAGGGCTCAGCGATCTGAAATGGGTTTGAAAATCCGTGAAACCAACGCCACTTTCTTCAGCTTTCAATTTTTTTTTTTTTTTTTAACAAGAAATGTTTTTCGTTTTGGAGGGATGAGGTAAGATCTGGTACAACCATATCCGAGGAGCGGTCTTTACTCTTCCAGTGTTTTTCTGCCACGTGTTTCATTAAGCTATAATTTAACGGAGTATGTACTTACCCAAAATAAAAATATATTTTTGGTTTAAAATCATAAAATATAGATTTTAAATAAAGTGTGTGTCTTATAATATTAAGAGTGTTTTAATATTAAATATATGCTCCTCCTATAATAATATATATATTTTGTGTAATTTAATTATGTAACAACAACTCTTATATTTTATAAAAGAAAATCATTGTTTTCCAACCTTCAAAACACTTTTGAATTTGACAATTTCCAACGTTTTAATAGCAATTATAAGATTGTGACATGCAAGACTATTACAAAGTCCTTAAATTGTGAATGAATCATTCTTTAAACTTAATTTTTCCTTTTGACTAAAATTTTTCATACCAAATTCATTTTTACAGTATAATATTATATTTTAAAAAAAATATTTTGTAATCAGCGAGATTCCTAAAACAAATTGTCATATTTCATCTCGAAAGGAAAAAGGATATCAATCTTATCAAAACTGACAATATCCTATGTTATAATCCCCAAATTGTCCAATCACTCTCATGCATCTTTTTCTAATCCCATGGGACAATCACTTGAATAAAAAAAACATAATCAAAGTTGATTTAATATAAAAGTCCCCTTCTGGATTTCCTATCTTACCAAATGCCTGTATTATACTAATATTTCTTTTTGAATGTTTCTTAACCAGATTTCAAACCCACCTTTTAAGCATTTTATGATGTTACGATTTACACATAATAATCTAAATGACAATGAATCATTCAATATTTCTTATTAAACTTAACCATCTTAGTTCATCCAATAGATCGTGTGGCTTTTAACCTTACGGTCATAGATTCGATTTTCATAAACAGCAAACAATTGTTTGTTGTTTTTGTTTCCTTATACCCTTGAAATATAAAACTTTTTGTTGATAAAAAAAAAAAAATTCAACATTTCCTATTGCTTGATAAGGAATTCATGTCATTGGATCAAAAGATCATTAGCAATTCAATTTAAAGGTCTAGTGGTATATATTATAGGTTCAACGAGGAGTGTGCTTGTGTAGCAGTTTGATTGGTAGAGTAGAAGAAGATGCCAGGCATATCAGGTCCAAACCATATGGTGGTTGTGACGGTCACAGGATCTTTGTTTTGTTTGCTCTCTTTCTTTATGGGGCTACAAATTTTTTGAATTTTATCCTTAGTAAAGAGAATATATCTAGTTGTAAAATCATCACCCTTGACCTGCATATGTGCCAATCTCATTTTTATTTTCAACCCTCTTTCAACCATCTCTTTAATACCTAATCTTTCCAAAATTTTCAAAACTCAATGACCCCTCTTTTTTCCAAGAAAGCTAGTGATCAACCCAATCAAGAAACACTTGATTTCCCAATCCTAGTGATTTCTTCTAAAATGCTATCTTCGACTTAAAAAGGATAATTTCCAATAGAGCTAGGTAGTAAAGAAAATTTTCTATACTAGGCTAGTCAAATTTAACTTTTTTACTCTACAGTAGTGTAAGTTTTGAAGAATGGATATCTTTCCCTTCTAAAGATCTTTAAGAAAGAAGTTGAAAACAAATTGCACAAGAAACTCTCATCTATATATAAGTACATATATATATATAGAATAATTAGACAAATAGAAGCTACAAAACTATTCTCTTTGCCAAAGATTTTCTTTCAGCTAAATAAAATATTAAAGATGACTAAATAAAGATACTTTGTACATACTCAGGAGAGTGCAAATTACAAAGGGTTTGAGTTGAAGACTAATTCCTGTCGCTTTGTGTTTCTACAACTTTCTAACCTTTACTATCTTTTTCTTTTACCTCCCCTGTCTTTGAGAAATTTCTTCCTATTTATAGGAGAAAACTAACTTTAGTTACAGAAAAGTAACTATAGTAAGACTAACTCTAGTTATAGGAAAAGTAACTATAGTACAAAGATAATCATAGTTAGCCATTCTTATCCTTTTAGAAAGATAAAAAGCAGGTTAACCTTAAAGGAACATATCAAATGCCCTTGTTCTTTTTTCAAATTCAATTATTATCCCTCCATTTGATTTTCAAGATTTTCCAATGCAACAAAGTCAAGATCATCAAAGAAATTTGCCTTGTTAGCTGGGTTGTCATTGGGAAGGTTATCACTCATGTTGACTCTAGCTATATGAGGCAGAAAGGAAATCTCTCTTAAACTCTAGTTATTGTGAAACACATCAAGGTCAATAAAAGGGTAGATCCAGCTGTAAAATCATCACCCTTGACCTACATGTGTGCCATAGTCCTAGCTTTCTAGTATTTAAGTTGCTTGGTGAAGGACTAGTTAGTGGATGGCCAAGCCTGACTGTCTTTGTAGAGAGGCAATAGTTGATTTCTTCTTCTTAAAATGATCTTGTGTTGTGTTGGAAATAGATGCCTACCTTTCCATTCAAGTGCCTTGCTTTGAATTAATACGTCAACATATTTACGAGGCATACTTTCTAAAATAGCTATAGCGAACCTTTTTCCAAAAAGATCCATATCCTTAATCTTTGTAAAGATTATTTGAAAGAGAAAGCCATAATCTAGGAGTTACTATGGAGTCAACTCAATAATTTCCTCTTCAAATAAGAACTATACTGGATCATATGAGGATAGATCTAGAGAAACTTTGCAAATGCTGTACATAAGTTGACATTGACAATCAAATCGTTTAAGTGGAATTTCTTGTGCAGTTTCTCCTTCACACCTATTACACCGTTTGAGTTTTCCTTCTATTGTAGAATAATAGGTGTCATAAGTAAAGCCCATGCCAACTTTATTAATATTACCCTGAGCCGATTATTAAAGGTATTATTGAATTGGCTTTAATTTGGCTTGGCTTGAGGCTTTTGCTTTTTGAAAGATTAGCTATCTTGAATCTTCAGGCAACTCGAGTAAGGGAATGCTTATATTAAAATACATTATGAGTTGTTGGGTATCATCCACTAATGGAATATATGTAGAACCTGGAATAGATGTAGAACCTGTGGAAGATCTTTCAATTAAATATTTATTAATTCTCAATGGAGGAATTAATTGTCTTCCACTCACTAGTGGAGCTAAGGTAGTCTTCATTATCCTACTTGAAGGTTCCTGAAAATTTGGAGCTAAATAAGGGCTAATGAAAAAGTTGTTTCCAAGTTGCTGTTGAGTAAATTGAATAGCTTCCTCTATTAGATAAAACCCTTTATAGAGTGGTCTTCTAAAAATTTGTATTTCGAATAAAATTTCATCCCATTGCTTTTAAACCCCATGCGGTTTTCCCTTAATTAGAATATAACAATTAAATTAATTATATTTTTTTCAAATATTAGGCTAAATTTTTTAAGTTAAACTCAAAAAGTTTCAAATTGCCAAAGCTTCCTTGAAGGTTGTTCCAGAGGTGACCAGTAACTAGATCCAAATTGAGCACTTCTGTACAGGACCTAACTATAGGTTTGACCAAGTCAAAGTTATGAGTTTTAAATCTTTTTACTTGCTCTTCAAGATCTATTAAGATTTTGACCTTTTTAGATTCTTGAATTTATTTTCCTTTAGAAAACATTCTTATGAAAGGGTTACCCACGATTTTAAATGATTCCATGATTTTTGGATTTTAAGATAACAAAATATAATTTCTCGAACTAGAGACTTTATGTTCTTTAGCCTTTATGTTCTTTAGCCTTTATGTTGGATAGAGACAAACAATTAGATTTTATTTGTCTAAGATCCTTTTTAATGATAAGGGTTCTTATCAAATCAATTGTTTTTCTTGAAACAAGTCTTGCCTTTTAGTTTCTTGAAATATTTTTGTTATTCCTAAGTGGGTATCTTTCAAAAGATCTCTTATTTCTTTTACTTAAGATCTCTTCTTGATTTTCAAGGATTCATAGTTACAAAATAATTTGGATATTCTGCTATCCTAGTAATGCCTATTCTTAAATTGCTAAAGGTTGACAATTTGTTAATCCATAAGAATTCCCTAATTTTCTTGCTTCATTCAAGGCTTCTTGATAGTTTGAATTTTGAGTGAAAAAGGTTTCACCCATTCAAACCAAGATTTAGTCTTTGAAGTTTTGGAACTTGTTTTAATAACTCTTCTTGATTTTTTATGAAGATAGTTGTTTGGTGATGGATACCTTGAACAAAAGGATCTAGCTCTCTTTTATTCAAAATTTGGGAATTGACTAGATTGACCTTGTTCTTTATAAGTTCAATATGTTGTTGTACGTAGTCTTGATTTTCAATTATTTTCACAATACTTTTCTTGTAATACTTTTTGAAGTTTAGGAATTGGTCAAGTACTACTGTTTCTTTTTCTTTTTCTTTTTTATGATTTTCTGAAAAATTTACAATTAAATCTACAATATTATTTAACAAACTATTTTCCAAATGTAAATTATGACAAAACCTAAAAACTTACACACTAACTTATGATTATCTAAAGTTATTTTCAATTTTTGATCTTTACATGAAATAACTTAGTCTAAAGAATCTAGATTCATATAACTATTCAAAGATAGAATATGATAGAATGAACAAAATGGATTCAATAAGTAAATATAGTAGCAAACAATAATATATATTGACAAAAGAAGGCAAATATTGACTAAGACAAAGAAAATAACAACAATTAATAAACCAAACATTGACAAGTACGTAGGAAATAATAAGCCATTAATAGCAAGATAAGGGACTTGTAATTTGAGTAAGAAAACCATCTTAACCAAACTTGACTCTTTAGGAAGGAAATTAATATACTTTGACTTTTGACAAGAAAGCATGGCAATCTAAGTCTTTGGCAAAAAAAGTTGTCTGTAAACTCAAATTTATCAACTTTCTATACATATATTCAAATATATAAATGAACTAGCTCTAATGCCATTTTTATTTTCAACCCCCTTTCAACAACCCCTTTAATAAATCTTTCCAAAATTTTCAAAATCCAATGACCTCCCTCTTTTCCAAGAAAGCTAATGACTAACCCAATCAAGAAATGCTTGATTTCCCAATCCCTAGTGATTTCTCATAATATATATTTAATGATTATAAATTTTTTATAATTAATAAATTAATTATATATTTGATTAATTTAAAAAAGATAATATTAAATTAATTAATGTATAATATTCTGAGTTTTAAAAATAAAAAGAATTAATTATTAAATAATATAAAATTTATTTTTTAATATTTTAACTAATTTAACTTATATCATGTTATTAATTTAAAATGTTAAATTTATTTATTATTATTTTTTAAAAATTAAAAATTAATATCCTTAATTTATATAATATTGTTTGAACTAAATTTAACTATTAATTTTTAAAAATATTTATTAAAAGATAATATTTTTAAAGTTTGGGTTTTAAAATTTTTGTAGGAACGGGACTTATTTGTACTATTTTATTTTTTACAACCATTTCTTGAGCTTCTGCTTTTTCAGGCTCGATTTTTTTTTTATTTAATGAACTTCTTCCTTCTGAGTTTTGATTTTGGCTTGATTTTGGGCCCTCGAGACCGAGCCCATTGGATGAAGTAGGCTTCCACACCCATTTAAACTTTCTACCTCCATTAATTGTTTTCATGGGCTGTTGGCCGTTGTTCATCTTGATTTTTTTTTTTTAATTATTTAAGGCCAAATTGTCTTAAATTAATTCATGGTGCTTTTAAAAAAATTAATTTATTTAGATGCTAACCGTAAAACTTGAACCCTGGAGTTATATTCACTTTGATTTACCTCGCTGTTTGCTATCAGTTGGTGGCGAGACGATTCACAAAATTTTCCAAATTATGTCGGTTGTGTTTATATGCAATGTATAATTGATAGAATCCCTTGTTCTAGTTTTAATATGAGGGAACATCTTTTTGTCATGTCAAATTAAGTTATGATGGCCGACCAACTGGTAATCATGTAGGAATAAACTGTATTGGTAAGGGACAATGACTGCCTTTCCCTCCCCAAACCCCACTTCAACCTGTCCCTCTTGCCTTCTTTGTTTTGGTTCATAAAATTTCTCTAGTGCTACATATAGTTGAGTATTGTGCCTTCTAGCTATTTTCATCTTATTTTTAATATATGGATATAGGTAATAAGAGAAATGTGTTTGCAAGCTCTGTTTACAGGTTAATTACTTTCTTAATTATAAAAATTATAATACAGTTAAATATATATTAATAAATAGGAAAAAGATTTGTGCACACCCGGGTCAACACCCGGGTGTGCACACTCTTCCATTGAAAAAAAAAAAAACCCAACCTCACCCGGTCCCTTTATTTTTTTTCTATGTGGGGGTGCACACCTGGGTGTTGACCCGGGTGTGCACCAATCAGGGTCCTAATAAATAAAGTTAGTTTGATTTACATTTATAAGTGTTAAATCAATATAAAAATTGATATATATAATTTTCATGAATAAAATATTTAATCTAATGGTTGATTTTGAAAATATTAATTAAAATATAAAATTTTAAACAAGTCCTCTAAAAAAATTTTAAAATGATGATCTACCCTACACTATTTTTTAAGAAATAAAAGGGGCTGCTATACATATTTGAAAAGTAAAGATTAAAATAAAAATCAACTGTCTTTTCATTTCAAAACTACATTACATTGTACTCTTCCTCTTAAAACTTACTCCTTAGTTTAATGAAACACTTTCAACATTATCCTAAAATTAAAGTAGCTAGTTAATTTTTAAAAGGGTTTGAAGAATGTTTATATAGAAATTAAACTCATGGTTTTTTTTGTCTTCTTGGATATTCTAAACTCATGTTTGTTAAAAACCATGCCTTTTGATCAAATAACATTATGGTTTTCATGACTAATATTATTGTCGGCTAATGTGAATGTATGTGTCGGAAAGCTATTATCAAAGATACTACAAAATTGATGAATGTGTGCAGCGTCATCTCTCTGCATGTACCAATAAATATCACTTTCATTAAATGATATCTTTTGAATTTTTTTGGTTAATTTTGGCTGCCATATACTAAAGTTTCCATTAAACCATTGATGATAGCTTACAAGGAAGAACAAATGAAGAGTTAATTCTCATTAATTAGCATCAAACTTTACATTGCTTTTTTATTCTTTCCTTCCAAACACAAATAGGAGAAAATAAAAAAATTAAAAAAAAAAAAAAAAAAAAAAAACCCTCAGGCATACATGTTGGCATTTTCTCACATTGCACAAGCTCAACACAATTACCCCAATAATAAAGTTACAAAGGCTGAAAAGGAAGAAAAAAAAGAAAGACAAACTCTTTTTTAAAAAGCCTGGCCACATTTTTGCAAGCTGCTCACGCCTCAGGAGACTGATTCACCCCATTAACATTTATATATAACTTATTAGAACTGTAATTAATTTGATCCCCAAAAAGAAAAAAAAAATCAGGGAAAAGAAGATAGCGTAGCTCCCATATTTGATGAAGGCGCCGGTGCAATTTCCTCCCCACCAAGTGACACTCCCTCAACATTGACATCCCAAAAACAAAAGTTGGGACATTGTTGTGATTCCACCACCCAATCATTTAACTCTTGCTGTCTCCTCAAGCACTCTAGTGCTATCTCTCCTTCCTCATCCACCATGCTACACGACTCGACTTCTATAGGTGCCATGTGTTCCATATTCTCTATCAATGGTGGCAAATAGTTGGTGTCCATAGTGGTAGCAGCAGCAAAAGAACTGGAAGTTGGTATTGCTTGCACTTGCTGTTGGTTCAAATTCCAAGCATCAGTGTTTAAACTTGCGTGCTCGTTGAACATGTCTCTATTTTGAATCCCATCTAGTACTGGACTGGTATCAAACATAAATAATGGTGGAGGAGAAGAAAATAGGTTTTCTTGAGTTGGTGGCCTTGTGGTCAAGTCTTGACTCAACAGTAACTGATCAACATGGTTTGGAGCATAGTTAATTGAAGAATTCTCAAGATTAGGAGCACTGCTGGTATTAGTAGTGGCAGAACTAATAGAAGGTGCCGGATTAGGCTTTCGAATCTTCTTCTTGATCCATGAATTCCAGTAGTTCTTTATCTCATTATCTGTCCTTCCAGGCAAATGACTAGCAATATGAGCCCATCTACATAAAAATATTGAACAACAATCAATAATTAGAGAAGGCAAAAATAATAGTAATAATAATAATAAAACTCTATAAAATTACATGTTTAATTATTGGCATGTGATTAGTTTCATACAAAAAAACTGTTTTTTTTTCTAATAATAATAATAATAATAATAAGGGACTGATGCTGCCGCCTTAACGCCTTAGAAAATAATGCTGCTTCAGCACAACCTACTCAAACAGTAAGGTTGCTTCAGATTCTGGCTATTGTTTGCACCAGGTCAGAAACTTAATTCTTAAGATTAAAATAAAAAAAATTTAATTAAACAAGAGAAAAAAGCTAGCTAGCTAGGTGATAGTTTGATTAGAACCTGTTCCCTACAACCCCATGAAGGCTAATAATCAACTTCTCCTCCTCAGGTGTAAACCTTCCTCTTCTGATATCCGGCCGAAGATAATTAATCCATCTCAATCTACAACTCTTACCACATCTTTGAAGCCCTAAAAAATCAATCAATAATAATAATAATAATAAAACTGAATTGAAGTACATGTGTGATTCACATGTTAAAGAAAATCGAAAAGGGGGATGATCATGATCAGAAAATTTATATGTGTATATATATATATATATATACCAGCTTTCTCAGGGACTTCACTCCAGCATCCATACCCATGAGTGGTGATATATCTGATGAGCTTTTCATCTTCCTCTGGTGACCATAGACCTCTTTTCACCTTTTGCTGGTTGCAGCAAGAATGGTGACCCATTTCCTGTCTCCCAAAATTTTTCTCCTTTAATTTTTTTTTCTCTTTTGTTCCTTTCCCTTGTGATGATTTCTATATATTGATTGATGATCCAAATTTTGGGCTTTCTTGGCCCATTTAAAAGTAGGAGAGGATCGAGCCGACATTGAAACCATTAGCATGGGACCTACGCTTCCATCTAACCCGAAAGCAACGTTTCACTGGCTTCTTTTCACATACACACACACTTATATCATAATCGGGTTACTGTGCAATTTTTTCTACGTACACATGTATTACGTAAACATGTGTGATCACGTACTCCCCGGATGGCTGCTTTGCCGGTTGTTCCCCCAACCTAGGGTTTTTTTTTTCCATAGTACATCTATCCTCTGTCCTGAACTAATTATTACCATCGAGATTTTTATGAGTGTGTTTTTTTTTAATGATAAAAAAAATTCTCAAATCAACTTAATTACATTTGTTTCAAGATTAATTTCCTTCTAGATATGATAATGTTAAGAGGGTGTTCATATGTTAAATATCTCAAATTGAATTCAAGACCAATTTCCTACTTGACTGGCCAAAAACGAAAAATTCTTGATTAATTAAGAATATATAGAATGATTAGGGGACCCCATTATAAACAAATTAAGCCAGTTGCATATAAATGTTACTATGCATACAAAATCAATTATGAATCGATATTGGTAAAGTCTGATGCATAAATATTTGTATATGCAATTAAAATTAACCCATATGAAGAATATGCCAAGATGGAGAAGAAATATAAAATTCATATAAGAAAAAGGGAATGATTGCAATACAAGGTTCTGATTCAGTTAGGGGACACGGAGTAAACCCCATGAAAATGAAATCACTTAAACTTTGATTTTTCAGGTTACTTATGGGATAATACACATATCAACTATTAATTGATGACAATGCCTCATTTCTAATTTCTTTATTATGATCATTTCAATCATTACCGCTGATGACGGTTAATTGTATATATTGCGTAACTTCATGAATAAATCAAACCCCATGAAAATTGCATATATCATTTTGGTTCTTGATTGTTCCATTAAAATCATGAAAGGGAAAATAAAATGATTCAATATTAAGATTGCTATTAATTAGTTTGACTAGAGTTTCGTCTTTTCTTTTCTTTTCTTTTCTTTTTTTTTTTTGCTTTGGTTACAAGTAATCAATGATCATTAAATTTTGTTAGGAAAAACAACTTCTACCGGAACAATATATCAATACGTAATTAAGCTCCATCACCAACATTTATATCATCCCAATCTCAGTTGGTTGTTTGATTTATAACTACTCCTTGATAAGAGCCACATATGGTCTGAATTTGGTTTCATCTATGGGTCTTACATAACTTGAAATGTAGTCATTCAATCATATTCTTTAGTTTAATTTGTTTTTATTGGGAATATAAATATTCATGCAACCATGCACCTAATATATCAAGGTTACATGTTCGAGTTCTACTTTGTGTGAGTTTTATTATCTGTTATTGTAATATTGTTTGAATTGAATGTAATTTGCTTACATTAACGAATTTACTTGGAATTGTCTTGTGTTAATTAATAATTATTATACCAGTACCGTGTTAATAGAGCAGACACATGCAAACGTAAGTGATTTACCATCCATATATATATGACTGATTAAATCATTAACATTAAAAAAAATAATTAATTAAATCATGCTTCATTCAACTATTACGTCATCATGAGCAATGTACAGTACCACTCCAACAGATATCCTTTTATCACTATTCCAAATTACAAATTCTATCATACCGGTCTCTGTTGCTTATAGTTTTAGGCAATAATTAGCCTGTTATAGGGTTAATTATCTAAATGTGTATTATACTCAATCATTAATAATATAAATTACGAAGTACGCTTGTGAAGTAAACAATTGTTCTTTCCAATTGTCCACCTTGTGATCGATGGTGATGCATCAAGATTAGTTAGAAACTTGGACAAGGGTTGAGGGTATTTCTTTGTAGGGTTTGTTAGGATGTGTTAAACGTTTTAATACGTAGCAGTAGATGGGGAAAGAAGTAATTAATTGTGATACCAAAAGGAGTTTTTTTCCATAAGGATGAAAGCGAAGGGATGTGTTGATTGATGCAAATCATCCACCGCATTTGATGTGCGAAAAAATAATTTATTTATTTTTGAAAAAAAGCACATTTTATTGCTTGGATGCATCGCAAGCTAAGCCTTTGAAAGTAATGTAAGAATCATTTAGAAAAAAGACATTTGGGAAAGGGAAAAAAAAAGGGGATATTGAAAAGTGGGAATGATTGTGCTTGTGCTTAGCTTTAAGTAGGAGCAAATTGTGAGGCAGAATGGGCCTGTCTTTGGAAATTTAAGTGATGGATTAGGGAGGGGAAATCTTGTATTGAGACTTTGCCTTTTAAAGCATGGTTGGTTAAGTTATTTAGTCATGGATGGATAGATGTAATGTCTCTACCATATACAATCCCTTAATTTTTGGCTTAAATATATATATGTTGTGGTCCTCATGATTCAATTTGATCCTTTAGTAATTAATTAATTAATTAATGTATCTTCTTTGTGACATTTTCTTTTTCCTCTCTATTGTAGTTTTTTCAATCCATGTACCCACCACATTTCTTCATTTCTTCACATGGGCCCTCTTCCTCTTTATGGTGGTCATTCTTGTCTATTTCTAAATCATGTGTTGTGAATCCCTTTCCTTAAAATGGAATCTTAGCCTTAATAAAAATCCCTATTTTCACCTTTCTCTTTCTCCACACCATTTTTTTATGAATTGAGCCACTCCATATATAAATAATCCATATAATTAACAAAGCCTTTCCTCCCAAATTGTAGATATCAAATTCCAAAGCATGATCAAATTTTGGTTAAACCAAGGAAAAGCAGAAACCTAATTAACATTAGATCTCTAGACTCTAGGTTTAACAGCGGGTTTGTGCGATCTTGTAGATCTGGGTCTGGGATTCTGGCGGTGAGCTGGCCGTTGCATTACAACAACAGAATCCACTCAGATCTTCTGGGTTCCCTCGTACATACCGGCGATCGAGGATTGCAGGACTAAAACCAGATCGCCGTCTAGTTCTCATGCCGAGTTCACGCGAATGTTATACGGACCTCTCATGTTCTACCTAGCTAGTTTATGACATATTACTGGACATAATCTCTATAGTAAATTAGTAATCAACTTCTTTAAAAAATTCAAATATTGGGAAGCAACGCCTGATGTAACGAACTCAGTTATACCAATTAGTCTAAACCCCCTTGAAATTAATATGAAATTTGGCTCTCTTTTTTTTTTTTTTAAGCCTTATATTGAAATTTACATTTTTAATTTTCGAGTGATATCAAAATCCAACATTTGTTTTTGAGCAGTTTGTTATTAATCTACTTAATAGGACTCTAAATTCATACAAGATTTGCATGTAAGAGTCACATTAAATTAATATTGAGTATATAATAAATAAATATATAATTAAATATAAAAAAAAATTATGCTCTATTTATTATCGATTGATTTTAAATTTATACAAACTTTGTATTAAAGTCGCATTTGCAATTTTCACAATCTTATCTTTATAAAAATTCTATAACATGGTGACCATCTGTGTAGTAGATTGCGGAAGTCACGGCAAAAGTTAGGCGGAAGCACATGTTGTAGTCATAGAAATTAATTAGGCTAATAAAGTGCTAAAGCATGCATGGGGTATTCCGCTTCAACTTCAACCCCATTATGTCTCTTAAAGCAGCAATTGCTCTGAAGCCTGGAGCCTGTGTGAGTCAATGCATTTTAATAGCAATGCTCTTCACTTTAAACCAAAGCAAAATTATATTCAACCGACTTTAAGGCCAGTTAGAGGAAAGAATCATTTCCATTTGACTTGCCTTTAGTATTTTTTTTCCCGGTATTAATTAATCTTTCAGTATTCGATAATTACATTGAGTTTCGATTGATCTGGAATCAAATCGTGTTGAATCCCATTAAGGGGAAGCCCTCTCAATGTTAGTTTCTCCATTTATAAAACTTGAACTCGAAACCTTATTTAAAGGAAAATCGAACGTCTTTCACTCAAATCAATAAATCATCAGTGATTCCTTTTCTTTTTAAACGTCTAGAATATATGCTATACTGTAGGGCCAATAAAGAGACATATGGTTGTCTAATTGATCATCGAACATCTTGGGCGGTGGCTGTCCTGTCCCACGGTGAGAAAACAGGTTCAGATATGATTATTGGGTTAATTAATTTAAGGTTTTAATT